ATCTTCCCGAAATCTCCCGCGCAATTCGCCTCCCGGTCTCGGTCACCTCGCCGTCCTGGCTCAGCACCCCGGCCGCCTTGAGCGTCCTCACGGCCCAATGAATCAACTATGCATGCGGCGGCTCGAAGAAGTCGAAGCTGGCCACGACGTCGTCACCTCCGGCGCCGACGAGCCGAGCGCCTTGAGCGTGAGGATGACGCCGACGAGGGCGTTGACATCCGCCATCTTGTTCGCCGGATTCCACACGTATGGAAACCCCTTCTCCTCCTCTCTCGTGTACACAGGCAGAAGAACGTCCCCGTCGGCCACATCTTCGGCGACTCATTCACCTTACGCCTTATGTGGCACCATTTATGGACGACCGCTTTCAGGCCTCGAACCAGGCGCGCCGCCGCCGAGCCGCCGCCGCCGATCAGATGTACGGGGGCGTTGTCCGTTCCGCAGTAGCCGGAGTCGACGATGTACTTGATTCCATCGACGAACACCGAGCAGACGGCGACGTCGGTGGCTAGCACTACCTTCCGCCTGCCGTCGGCCGCCGGCCGGAACACGTCGTGGATCCGGTGCATCGGGAGGCCGTCGTGTAAGCAGCATGTAGCTAGCCCCAGCAGCGCACAGCCCGTTGAGTGCGTGCTCGGCTGCCTCGACGTCCGTGCAGCCCGGGAGGAAGACCAGCAAGTCGCCCGGCGGCTCCGTCGTGTGGATGCGGCACACCGCGTCGACGGCCGCGCCGAGGTAGTCTGTCACCGGCTCCGGGAGGTAATGTTGGTCGATTAGACCGGAGTAGGTACGGAACCAGAGTTCTTTGCCGTCCATGCCGGAGCCGGAGAAGAAGCCGTGTACAACGCCCTTGCAGAGGGTGCTGTAGTGGTTCAGGCAGACGACGACCCGAAGGTCCAGGCGGCGCGCCGCCGCGGCCTTGACGCAGCTGAGCACGACACCTGTGATCGCCATCCCGTCGTGCGCGTCGTCCACCACGACAGCACCGTAGCGGGTGAGGAGCGGGTCGGCGGCGAGATCGCGGAGGAGCGCGCCGTGCGTGATGTACTTGACGACCGTGTCGGCGTCCGAGGAGCGGTCGTCGAGGGGGACGGAGTACCCCACCTGGCGTCCGAGCTAGGCGCGCATGTCGGCCGCGGCGCAAGTCGCCGCGAGCACGGCGGCGAGGCGGTACATCTGGGGCAGACGACGCAGCCGTGGCCGGCGGCGTGGAGCAGGCGCGGGATCTGGCTGCTCTTGCCGGTGCCGGGGCCGGCGTCGACGAGCACCACCAGGTGCAGCGCCACGTATTTCGTCACCATCGCCTGGTTCTCCTAGTGGCGGAACTCCCGCCGCCGATTGCGCACCCTTCTCGGCGGCGCCGCGGCTGGCGGTGTCGTCGTCCTCTGAGCGGCTAGTCGGGCGCTCCGGCGAGGAGTGGCCATGGCGACGGGGCGGGGTCGGCGTGCGGGGCGCGCCATTGGTCACACGACGGCGCTTCTCAGTTCAGATCACGCGGGGTGAAACATCGATGAGCACGTTTAAGTAGATGGGTCATGGGTGAGCTGTCCGCGCACGTAGGAGATCGTTCCGGAGTGCCACTGCCGTCTGAATCCAAATTTGTGTATCAGCAATGTAATTTACTCAATAGAGTAAATAATACGGAAATGCTAAACACCGGTATACCGTCCCGACGGGATAGGATAGACACCAACCAATCCACTCTTCTTCTATCTAGCTATTCTTTCTACCACATCTCTCTCATGCGTGCTGCTGCAACTAAGTCAATGACGAGCTCCGGTGTGGCATGGGTGTGGATGACGGAGGTCGCGGTCGCCGGCGACGAGCTCCGACGCGGCCACCCCCAACGATCCCCCGGCATCGCGGACTTCGGCGACGAGCTTCAGCGTGGCGTGAGGCACGGACGGCGGAGGACGTGGCTGCGGCGACGAGCCCGGCGTAGGGAGCGACGGCGGAGGACGTGGCTGCCAGCGATGTGGTCGCCGGATTGCCGCCTGGAGCTCCAGCACCGCCGTCCGCCATCCACGGCGCCGCCGTTAACGCCCACCTCCGGCTCCATCCGCGTGGCCGGCCGGTGCGCCCTCCGCCGGCGCCCCAACTCTGTCGCGGGCCCTCTCCGGTCGGCGCCTTCGTCGCCGGCCGTTGATCCCGCTGCGAGTCCGGGCCTTCATCCTATCCATCTACTGCTTCGGGGGAGCAAAGAGACAAGATGGGGTGAAAAGAACTTGCTAACTTGGTTATGGCTGGCTGTGGAGTGTGGTAGAATCATCTTCTACGTGGTAAGAATCGCATGATACATGATAGGTATCATCTTCTACGTGGTAAGAATCGCATGATACCTGATAGGTATCATCTTCTACATTGTAAGAATCACATGATACTTGATAGGTATCATCTGATACCTCTTAAGTATCACCTGATATGTGGTAGAATCGCATGGATACCTGGTAGGTATCAGGACCTGATACATCGCAAGCATCATCCACAACGTGGTAAGAATCGCATGATACCTGATAGGTATCATCCGATACCTCGCAAGTATCATCTGATATGTGGTAGAAACGCAAGTATCACACGATCTTACTAAAGTATCATTTGTGAAACCCATAGAATCTTGTTACTAGACATGATACCTAAGTAGGGCCATGCGGTACTGCACAGGTATCACACGTAATGATACTTTCGAGGAGGATCATGTGATCCTCCTAGGATATCATTTGTGAAACCTGATGATACCAGACATGATACAGATGAGGATCATGATACCTCCCAGGTATCACATGATCCTCCCAAAGTATCACCTATGAAACCTGGTGAAACCGGACATGATACTAAGGAGGATCATGATACCTCCCAGGTTTAACATGATCCTACTCAAGTATCACTTGATACCTCGCAACTATCATCTTCTATGTGGTAAGAATCGTATGATACCTTACAGGTATCACCTAATAACTAGCTGGTATCGGATGATACCTACCAGGTATCATGCGATTCTACCACGTATCAGATATCGGACGATTCCTATCACGTATCAGACGATACTCGTGAGGTATCATGTGATAGCTATCATGTATCATGTGATTTCTACGATGTATCGGGGGTGATACTTATGAGGTATCATATTCATATGATACCTACTAGATACCAGGAGCTGGGCGTCGAGGTGTCGAGGCATCGTCGCCGGCGGCCGCGTCCTCCCCCGTCGACGCTCCGTACTGAACCCGAACCTCGTCACCGGCAGCCGCATCCTCCCCCGTCCACGGTATCGGAGCTCGTCGCCGGCGACCGCGTCCTCCGTCGGGAGCTCGTCACCAGCGGCCGTGTCTGTCGTCCACGCCTCAGCGGTGGCTGCGTCCTCCACACCGGAGCTCGTCGCCGGTGCCGCCACCACCACCACGCAGGATCCTCCGCCGTCCACGCCCCACGCCGGAGCTCGTCGACGGCGCCGTCTCTGTCACCACGCAGGATTCTCCGCCGTTCATGCGACCATGCCCCACGTCGGAGCTCGCCGGCGGCCGCGTCCTCCACGCTGGAGCTCGTCGCAGGCAGCCGCGTCCTTCACGCCGGAGCTCGGCGGCGGCCGCCGCGTCTGCGCCACCGGCGTCAGCCTCGTCTGCGCTGCTCCCATGGGGGCCTGCGCTCTCGCATCTGAGGGAGGTGGACTGGGAGCGATCCCGTTGGGACAGTATCCCAACGGGATACCGGTATATAGCAGCCCCCAAATAATAATATGCTCTATATATTCTTGACTGGTGGGAATAGTTCAAGTAGTAATATACTCCCTTCGTTTTAGATTCTACTACCTCCGTCCCATTATAAGTGCAGCCATGGTTTTCCGCGTCCAACTTTGACCGTCTGTCTTATTTGAAAAATTTTTGAAAAAAATTTAAAAACATAAGTCACGAGTAAAGTACTATTCATGTTTTATCATCTCATAACAACGAAAATACTAATTATAAAAAAATTTCAAATAAGACGAACGATCAAAGTTGGGCGCGGAAACTTATGGTTGCTCTTATAATGGGACGGAGGGAGTAATTTCTAAGTCGTTTTGGTTTTGATAAAAGTCAAACTATTTTGAGTTTGGCTCAGTTTGTTGATAAATATAGCAATATGTAAACATCAAATTAATTTCGCTAAATCGATAATTGAGTATATTTTCATAATATATTTGTCTTGGGTTAAAATTGTTACTGCTTTTTTTTTTCTACAAATTTGATTAAACTTAAAGCAGTTTTATTTTGACCAAAGTAAAAAAGACTAATAATCAGTTTTATTTTGACCAAAGTAAAAACGACTTATAATCTGTAAAAGATCATAGAAGGACTAGGTTTTGCTTTGTGTGATTTGATTTGCTTATGTTTTTTGTGTTACTTTCCTACCAATACACATTTGTGGTTTTCCATCTTAGAATTATGTCCCCAATCGCCTTAACAACAAGGGCTGTTTGTTACAAGGTCCCTATCTTGTCCACTCCAAGAACTGCATGCCCCAACTGAAAAAACTATGATTTCTCCCAACCACCCCCATGACACCAGAATTTCTGTTCTGTTATGCTTCATGCTGCTGTTAATAGGATTTACAATCCGGTGGAAACCGGACCAAATTTCGTAAAATACAGACTTTTCGGATCGGGTTGAAACCATAGACACTCGATTTGATGGTCATGTTTATTTTTGCGAACGAGTAAAAGAATTGCACGTCAATATATTAGAGGGAAAAGAGTTTTTGTTACACAATGCAATCAGCCAGAGCGGCTTATACCGAGGGAAGGAAGAAAAAGCAAAACAAAAATTGTAGCTAAGAAGAAAAAAATACGGTGGCTATACACAACTCCGATTGGAGGAAAGGGGCAAAACCACAGTACACTCCCAAGAAATCTCCAAAAGCAGCAATACCCATTAAAGGCCACAGATGACCTTACGAGCGGATGGACTGCAGAGCCAGTGAGACCGAAGAGAGCGCATAATCGAAAACCCTGGAGTCATGTTCAAAACTGAATTTTAAAATTTTGATAAGATTTATCTGAATTTTATCAGTTGTTTTCGCCTTTTCGGTTAATCAGTACACTTACCATGAGTGATTTTTATCCAGCATCGGAATTATGAATAGCATGCTGCATACCCTGCCTGCGTTGCATGCTTGCCAAGAGTGGTCAGAAAGCATCCCTGCTTCAGCTCCACTCCTACATACAGATGAGGTTAGCTTGGGAGTTTTATCTGACTTCTTTTTGGTGGCAAGTCACTCCTCTTGCTTGTTGCTATTGGGAAACTAGTTGCTGGTTGGCCAGTGTGCTACTGAAGTGGAAGCAAAGAAACTACCTGCAGCCAAGCGATGATCCACTGATCTTCGCCCCTTCATATAATCCTCCAAGCGATCGTGCATGTTGCTTGCAGCCAAGAACGTTCGATCGATCGATCGATCCTCGTGTTGCTGCTTAATTGCTGTGCTTCTCCATCGCCATGGCCACCGACCGTGTCGAGGTCGACACGGCACGCCCTTTCCGGTCCGTCAGGGAGGCCGTCGCCGTCTTCGGCGAGCGCATCCTCGTCGGCGACGGCTACTCCCGGCGACCCAGCAACGGCAATGCTGCTGCTGCTGCCGTTGTTGACATCGCCATTGCCAAGCATGAAGCTAGCGGCGATAGTGATGATGCTACTGTTTCTTCTCCGGATGCCATGGAAGCTGAGCCTGAGGTGGAGGAGGATGCAGCGCCGGCCGTCGTGCCGATGATGTACTCGGCACCGTCCTCGCCGCAGTCGTCGCCGCCGCCGCCGAACGACGGCGGCGACGCCGACGACGAGCGCGACGGCGGCGTGGTCGACGAGGGGGTGACGGTGGCGATGATGCGGTCAGTCAAGAAGCTGGAGGCGGAGGTGGCGGAGACGAGGCAGGAGGTGGCGCAGCTGAAGAAGCGGGGGAGCGAGATGGAGATGGCCGTGGCGTCGCTCAACGCGCAGCTCCACCGCGGCCTCTCGAAGCTGGCGGAGATGGAGGCCGGCGACACGGCAGCGGCGGCGCGGCGCAGCGTTGGCGGCGAGACCGACGTGTCGTCGACGGTGGCGACGTTCAGGAGCGAGCGGTGGGGCGGCGTCGGCGGCGGCGGCGCGGCCGTGTCGCGCGCGACGTCGTGCGAGTACCTGCCGTCGTTCAGCCACGCGTTGAGCCTCGGCGAGGTGGACGACGGCGAGCTGGTCGGGAGGAGGAGGAAGGCGAGGAAGGTGAAGCCCATCGTGCCTCTCATCGGCGACATCATCTTCTCCAAGAGGAAGAGCACCAAGGACAAGGGCGGCGATGGCTTCTACGGCAACAATGGCGATCTTTACAGCGTTCTGGGCTGACGTCATCTCACTCTCTCTGTGTGTGTGATCTCATCAACCTGCTCATGTGTTGTGGCTGCTTTGTGTGCAATTTGGATGAGCAAATTTGTTTTTGTTTTTTAGTTTTGGTTTTGTATTTCTTTCTGCTTCTGGTTTGGTGTGGATTGTGCAGGGGAGTTTGTGTAAATGTAAAGCACTGTTAAGTTGACTGTTTTTATATGTTTGTATCTTCAGAAGTTCAGATCATGAACAGCCTACTCTGCAGTGGAACGTAATATTTACCCCATTTTTTTTGAAAATTCTCGAATTTTATTTTTTTTCTATATTTGATTGCACAGATGATGAAAACCATACCTAAGCAATTTAAAGTGAGCAACACAACCTTCAGAAATCTATTATCATGGGATATCTTTCCTAAACTTTATGTTTGAACTTAAAGTTTGTTTCAGTAGATTTGTTTTTCGGAAGTTCAGTGCCCCAACATATTCCCCCCAAAAACTGAGAATGCACAGCCGGTGAACACTTCTGGCCTCCTTTGGATTGGAAGATTTTCAAAAGAACTTTGCAAGAACTGAACAAATTTCTACGAAAATCCTGTAAAGTTACATCTTTCTAAAGAGGGAATAATTAAATGTCCCTCTAAAAAGAGCCTTAATCTTAATGTGAATACCATATAAAGCTACCTGGTATTCTACAGATTTTGCATGTTTTGTTATCTTTGCCAGTTTTTGCATGTTTCTGCATGGAATTAGGACACGCTGCTTTAGTTTTTTAAATGGAATTTTATTACCAAGCTATTATTAACTCCCCGCAATTTCCTCTGCACCTCTGCTTCAAATTTGGGTCACCGTTGTTTCTCCTCCTCCAAGATCCACAAAACCCAAACAACATAACAATATCAAAACTTTTTTGGCACATTTTTTTTCAATCAATCAAAATCCAAGAACAAGAACAAGAACAAGAACACAAATCCAGAGAGAGAGGCGATTGGCGCCACCATTGCCATGCACGCCGCCTCGTCCTTGTTCTTGACCCGCGCCGCCGCCGAGGCCGCCGTCGCCGCCTAGTGCCGTGATCCTCTTTCGCCGCCGCCGCCGATGGCGCCGCCGATGCAGGAGGGGGAGGAGCGGCCGGGCGGGAGCGCGTGCGTGTGGATGGTGACGACGCTGCTACTCCTCTCCGTGCTCGCCGGCGGCGGGTGCCTCGCCGGCTACGTGGTGCTGCCGCCGCACGAGGCGCCGCACTGGCTCCCCGCCGTCGGGCTGGCGCTCGTCGCGCTCCCGTGGGCGTTCTGGGTCGCCACGTGCTCGTACCGGTGTGTCCGGAGGCGCGCCGCCGACCGGCAGGCCATGGGCTCCGCCGCCGTGGCGCCGGCGGCCACCGGCAGCATGCGCTCGTGCGCCGACTCCTGAAACTCACTGTAAGCAAACCGTCCTAATTATACTGAATTTTTTTTCGCATTTTTCAAGATCGTGGCCACATTTATTTTGGGATGAGACTCCCCTGACTCTTGTGGGTGTTTCCTTTGGGTGTGTTTAGTTCACGCTAAAATTGGAAGTTTGGTTGAAATTGAAACGATGTGATGGAAAAGTTAAAAGTTTACATGTGTAGGAAAGTTTTGATGTGATGAAAAAATTAGAAGTTTGAAGAAAAAGTTTGGATTTTAACAAGGGCTTTATTTTGATAGGAGTGATTTTCAGGATTTACAGGAGGTACCATATTTTTTTTCCGTGAAATTTTACCATCCTTAAAAAGTACCCATGTTTTTTAGTGTAAAATTTGGTACCTCTATATACTAAGTAGCTTGATGTATAAAAAAATTTAGTATGAAATTTAGGTACCTCGAGGTATTTTTTTAAGGACCATAAAATTTCTCTATTTTTTAATATAAAATTTGATACCTCTTAATATCTCTGATGGTAAGACATACCAAATTTGCACCAAAAATTTTGGTATCTCTCGATATGTCTCAAGTATTGTTGAATTTGTGTTTTGATAGATAATCATCAGATCAAATTTTGTTGTTGAATGATGATGATACTCTTTCTTGTTGCAGTGTTAATTAGAGTTATTCAAGACGCAAATGAAGGTGATGAGGGCGGAATTAAATTCGATGACTCCATGTACAGATCGATTCAAATTGGAGGATAGCAAAGAATTTGGATGAATTTGATATGGTCTTGCGCCTATGCATGAATGCAGATATAAGCCCCCTGCTTGGTACACTGAAACTGCAAGGAAATGATGAAAAGAAAGGGTGCAACCTATTGCAGTTTCAAAGCAAAATGCGAATGAACAGTTCATCTTGAATTAAGATTTGTCCTACACCTTTTTTGTATTTTTGGAAGTATGACTTGAAAAGTTGAAGTAATCTTGTTTGTATTCTGAGAAGGTGGAAGTGATGATCTCATAGATGATGGATAGGACAGTGTCATACACAAATGGTCAAATATAATATACTGTCTTGAACTGTTTGTAGACTACATTATTTTGATGGCAGATATTTAATTTTTCATCCATAAAACCTTTGAAAATGTATCGAGAGATGCTATACTTTTTATATTTCTTTTCAGCTACTTCACCATATTATTAACACAGATTATTTGCTCCACATCTATAAAGTATGTTTTGTAAAAAAAAAAAAAAAAAAAAAAAACTTGCTCAGACCACTTATTCTAAGATATCTCTGTTAAGTTTATTTATTAAAATATTTAATCTATTCCTATAATCAAGTAGATAATTAATCCGTAGTAATAATCTAGCAAATAATCTATTTCAAATTAGCCCATAGTATTAATGTGTGCTAACTTCATGTCTTAACACTGGTGTATAAACTCAACATCAAACATACCAAGCCTAGCTTAATGGATATGGCTGCCCCATTCTTGTTCAGTAATCCTGACCATACATGTACAGCCATACTTTATTTCGTTGTCGTGGACTCAAATCGAACAATTTACTGTAGTGTTTATGGACCACAATGTCTAACATTTTCTGGATAACTACTCTTATCTAAAAAACTACTCTTATCTGAAATACTTCAACAGTAGAATAGAATATATCCAGGGTAGCAATAATGCAGCAACTTTCAGAATACAGATGCTCCAGTCAATAGATAGCAAAATTAAATTAAAACACATCGATCTCTCTCGGTTAAACAGTATGGGCTACCCATGCATGCGTGCAAGCCTGCTTCTCTGTGCAAATACTCCACTACCTCTGATCAGGGTTCATCTTTTCGATTGAGTGTTGGATTTCAACCTCAAACGGTATGACATTTTTCGTCAAATTACAGCAAAGTTTGATCAACTTTTTATTGTTTGAAATTTGCATTCTCGAAAACCATTTGAAATTTCACTTCGAATCTACTTTAATTTCATGTGGTGTCAAAAAAGAAAATCAAAATTTCACGATTTTCATGGGAAAAAAAAGCGTAAACCCTCCTGATCTCATCTGGTGATGTATGTGTACTGCATTGAGTGAAGAATATATATAACTTGTCTGCAAATGTAGATCACTCCGTATATATTCTTATCCCGGTATTTGTTGATTTCCCAGCAAAAGAAAAGGAATATTTGTTGATTTCTTTCTTTGGGTGGAAAGGGACTTAACTGTGCGCGCAAGTTTAAGAAAAGAATGTACAGAATATGTGCCTGCTACTTTCAACTTTTCAACCTAATTTTCCTGTGAAAACACCATTGCCGTGCATTACTCACTCATTCTTGTTGTAAAAACAACTTACTATATATGGTTTAATTTGGTTCTTTTTGTTACAATTACTGAGTTACTAGCTGCTTCTCTCTTCTAGGAAGAAAAGTTGGTTGAAAAAAAGTCAGACATCTTATTCTTATTAGCTTAATGGTAACGGGAACATCCTATGCACGTAACTTTCCCGTGCACACCAACTAGCAAATGTCACGAAAAATTATATAAAAAAATGGGCATTTACTCCTAATAGTATAACACATATATGTAAAGTCTCATATTCAAATTTATTGTATTTTATCCCTATCAAAAAAAGTGAAAAATCTAATAGTTTTAAGGGTAAAAATCTGTCAAAATTTTATCTTTTTTTGTTACAGCTAAAATATAATGAATTTTAAGATAGCATTTCACACGTAGGTGCAATACTATTGGAAGTGTGTGTTCAATTTTTTTTTAGAATTTTCTATGCCATTTGATAGTTGGTGTGCACGGAGTGTGCACGGGAAGCTTGTGTGCATAGGATATATTCTCTAATGGTAGCCCGCATCAACTTCATTGTCTTATACAATCAATCAAACAATTATTATAATCTTTTATTCCACTTTACATGGCATCTATAAAAAAAATTATCGTTAATTCAGCAAGTTATCATTTATAAGATGTTGTGGCTGGATTTGTCTCAGCTTCTTATGTCTTTTTTTTATTTCCACGAACGCGCAGAAGAATTACACGTCAGTATGTCTTTTGTTTTATCAAATTGATTAAAACTTACTGGTTCTGTGCTTAATGACAAAGGCTGAAGATGCAAACGTTTCTATTATCTAAAGCCATACAAGTATTAATATCAATTGTATTAAGTTATAGAGATGTGATCCATGCACAATGTTCATATGCATGAGGATTGAGGAAGTGTTGATTTTTTATACTGAACCAAAAAAGCATCATGCCAACATAAGGCCCCAAACAGCACTTCATCTAGAACCCCATACTCTACGGTATTAACTTGCAAAAAATCTAGCTCCCAACAAACATCAACTTCCAATCATAAATCTGAGCAAAGTAAACCAGCCCATCATATGATAGCAAGATTGCAAGAGAAAGAGGATCTAACAAACAGGAGTGCCAAAGATTCCAATCCTTTGTGAGCCATTCTTTTTGGTACCTGCCAAGATCCCTGGCCAAAAACAGCCTTAATTCACCTGCCAAAATCAAAGAAAGCAACACCCTATGGCCCTGGTAAACACTGCCATGTACACCCCTTGGGCCCTCCTACCCTTGGATGCATGCATATATGCACATGAAATCCAATCCTATCTTCATTTTGCCCGTCCCTCAACTATCTCCTTTTTGGGGAGAACAGAAAAGAGGCTTGTATGAACTAATGGAGCTCTATCAGTTATCATAATCCACCAACAGTGGATGCACCACTTCACAGATCATGAAGATATTCCTCTCCAAATTATTGGTGTGTGTCCATGGTGTAATGATGTGATGCTTGTACATCTCTAGACTTGTCTAGAAAATCACTGCAGGATCAAATAAACAGTAAAGTGTTCTATACAGCTTTTCAGAATAACCTCTGCAAGCATGCTTTTCAAACTATTAAACTATGTCGTGCAAAATATATATATATATATATATATATATATAAGTTTTCTAAAAAACTAATAAATCTATTCATTTTTAGTTTGTAATAATTAATATTCGATTAATCATGCATGTGTTAATAGAATGTCTTGTTTCACGTACTTCTAAAAATCTCAACCTAAACGCTAAAACGGACTCAGCCTTAGGCTGCGTTCGGCACCAGGAGATTGGAAGAAAGTTTGTTTCGTTTTACGCTTCCTGAACTATTAAACGGAGTATTTTTTTAAAAAAAAATTATACACGAAAGTTGCTTTAAAAAATCATATTAATCCAATTTTGAAGTTTAAAATAGTTTATACTCAATTAATCATGCGCTAATGCCTCACCTCGTTTTAGTATGTTTACATTGCTAGTGTGATGTGCTTGCTCTTTTGTACAAAGTACCTGGATAATGTATATGTAATAATGCAATATCCCTGGAAAAAAATTGTAGTGTAAGCTCCACCAATGGTCTCACTGACAATCACAACATCAAATGTACAAATACAAGTTTCAACCATCATATCAGTAGCCTCGAACGTCACAATATATTTACAACAGTGCACAACACACTGAAGCACATTGCGCCATGTATAGATTTCATTTTCATCTTCCGAATGACATATCACATGCATGTGGACTTTTCCAGTGAAATATAGATATATAAATAATACTCCCTCCAATTTCTCATAACCAAATTATCTTCTGTTAACATCACAATTGAGAGAAATAGATATCACAACAAAATCTTGATCTTAAGATATAACAATCTTATTTATCTTAATATAACAATTATTAATTAACACTAAGTACATAGATCGAAAAAAATTGACCATTTTAACAAAAATTCCATTTAAAAAAGTCATTTTCATCAGACAAATGTATTTGCATACGCAGTCATTTGCTTACCACTTCTTGAATATCACTGAAATATTCAACCGTTTAATACTGGTACTAGTAAGCTTAGCTTAGCTTATTTGGAACTAAACACAATAATAGCAAAATCGAAGGGAGAAAAAAAAAACAGAGACGTACAGTAAGCTGTGCTTCACTAACCATTAAAGCCTTGTTATCCCAATCAAACTCATAATACAAGAATCTACAAGGTGTTACATGACAAAACACCACACAAAGCTCAGTAAATAATTTTTTGTTTACCTCGTTCTTTTTTATCTCACACCTGGGCCCCACCTGGCAACGGCAGTGTTGCTCTGCTGCCCATACGACGTACACATGTTTGCTAGTGCTAGTACTACTTCGATCGGACGGTCACCGATCGATCTCACATTCTCTCTACCCGCTGAACGGCCGGTACACCTTGAGCGCGTCGACCACGTCGGCGATGGAGCCGGCGGCGGCGGCGACGGAGACGACGAGGCAGGCGGCGCTGAGGACCTTGAGGCAGAGCCACCGCGCGCTCCCTCGCCGCACGCCGCGCTGCGCGATGTACATCTCGACGGGGAAGTAGACGGTGAGCGGCCAGAACGAGACGGCGCCGAGGAGCCCCACCACGTCGCCGAAGAACGGGAGGAGCATGGACACGACGGTGGTGGCGCAGACGAACGCCGTGCGCCATGTCAGGCGGAACACGCTGAGCGAGAAGGGGCCCACGCGGAGCTCCCGGGAGATGAAGCCGCCGTCCGGCCACCTCGCCGCCGCCCACCGCTCGACGAACGCGAAGATCGGCTGGACGAACACCTGGTAGGCGCCGACGAGGTGCACGACGATGGCAGCGTTGGCGACGTCGAGCAGCCAGAACGGCTCGTAGAAGCCGAACCCGGTGAGCAGGTTGTCCGGCGACTTGTCCCCGAACGCCGCGTACCCCATGCACCCGCACAGCATGTAGAACACCGTCGTCGTCGCCACGCTCACCATCGTCGCGCGCTTCATCACCTTCGCCTCCGATGGCGGCGGCGCCTTGATCGTGTCCTGACATGACATCACACACAACAACGCTCTGTTCTGTTAGGACACAAGAAATAGAAGAAGCCAAGAAACAGAGGATGCGGCAATGGCGGCGGCGAGCTGCTTGCCTGGATCTCGATGAGGATGATGGAGTAGGAGTAGGCGAACGCGATGTCACCGAAGGCCTGGAGGCTGCGCCAGACCTTCTGCATGGAGGTGACGCCGGTGCCGACGCTAATGCCGGTGAGGCTGCCCATGAACCCGCCGTTGGCGACGGTCTGCGCGATGCCGAGCGAGAGGCCAATCGTCGAATAGGTGAAGGACATGATGGCGGCGACGATGGACAGCCACCATATCTGATCGAAATCCGGGATCTGTGAGAACACGATCTGCACGACGCCGAACAGGATCATGTACGGGTTGCTCGAGCTCCTGCACGGGTTCTTGTGCCCCTTCTCGTGGAAGCAATCCGCCCTCTTGATCGCCCTGCTCGATCGAATCAACTAAGCTATCAGCAATCACATCATCAATGGAGTTTGCATCGAAACCGAATCGAAACAAAGAAATTGTTTGATTGATTACAGCATGCTGATGGAGGCGGCGATGGTGTAGCCGATGGCGACACCGAAGAGGTTGGCGTACTGGATGACGCCGCAGAGGCGGACCTTGGAGCCGCCGAGGTTGGCGCGGACGGCGTCCATGTAGGTGTAGTTGCGCTTGCCGGTGCACGGGTCGCCGGAGCGGTAGCACTCGGCGAGCAGCGTGGAGGTGTAGTAGATGACGAAGGCGAAGAGCAGCATGACGGCGGGGCCGGCCACCCAGCCGAGCTGCGCGATCGCCCACGCCAGCGACAGCACGCCGGAGCCGATCACCGCCGTGATGATGTGCGCGCTCGCCGTCCACACCGTCCCCATCCGCCGCGCCCGCCCGTCGTCGTCGCGCCACTCCCCATGACCCACCATCATCCCCGCCTCCGCCGCCGCCGACGCCGACACCTCCATCGCCGCCGCCTTCCCCATCCCTCCTCTCTTGAAGGTGTTCGACACCTCTAGCTCGCCAAGAACTCTGTCGAACACTTGGCTGGTGATGGTGTGCTGCGCGTTGCTTGGGTTGAGTGAGTGAGAGGTGGAAGAAGACGAGAGCTATATATAGAGAGAGAGGAGAGGAGAGGAGAGGTGAGAGAGGCGTGTAGGGTTGCGGCTGCTTCGTCTTCGTCTTCCTCCTCCCGCCATGGCGCGCCACGCGTGGACAGCTTTGCTTTTCCAACATGAACTGACACTGCCACTGCCACTGAGGCCGGTGGCAAATGGCAGTGCACCTGGGCATCCTGGGATCATAGCCACCACATGTCCTTTTGTGTGCCTTTTTTTCTTCTTCTCAGATAATCTTTTGGTGTGTTAGCAGGGGCGAAGCCAGGATAAATGATCGTCGGGGTCATTACTAGCCATGGTCTATGTTTTCAAACAAAACGGATTGAAAACAACGCAATTTCGATGTTCCAACTTGGGACAAAAGTAGATTTTGAGTGAAATTTGGAATAGTTTTTCAAGAATTCAAATTTGAAATTGTAAAATTAAACCAAATTAATAAAAAAATATCAAATTTTGGTAAAAAAAAAGCCATATTGCTATATTTGGAATCTAATTTTAAATCGAATTGGTGAACCCTGATACAATCTGGGTGTGTTCAGACCTAGCTATGGGATCTGAACCCTTCCCTCCCAGCACGCAAAATAGGGCGAGGTTACCACATGATTAATTAAGCATTATTAGCTTATAAAAAACTTGAAAGACAATAGATTAATATGGTTTTTAAAATAATTTCCTATAGAAATTATTTTGCTAGGGAATTTGAAAAGTTATGAGCCACTGGCCTTATGCATGGTCTCAAATCTCAAAAACTCAAAGTATATGCATATTCGGCTGACGTATAATCATAAATGCTAGGTAATTTTCTATTTGCTGCTGCCAGTATCGTTTCTAGTTGTCAATTGGAATTTAACACAACAATCAACAATTAATGTCACCGGGGTCTAATATTTGTTTTCACCGGGGTCATAGCTGGTAAAATAAAGAGGATATGAGAGGTTAAAATAAAATCATCGGGGTCTACTGACCCCGGTAATTGACTGTACCTTCGCCCCTGTGTGTTAGATTAGGATTAATGGTCACATTTTTTTGGATGGATTTAGAGATGATGTGGAAGGATATACTCTTTTTGTTTGTTAAATAGATGATGCCGCTAACTTTTAACATAGCGTTAAACTATTCGTTGTATTTAATATATATATATATATATATATATATATATATTTATTTGATGTGCCATCTTTTATAATCAAAGGAACTTTCAGTACTTATACTTTAGCATATTATTAATTTTTTGAATTAGATGAATGGTAAAACATTGACAGTAAAGAAGTAAAATTGTATTGATCTTATGACTTATGAGGTTCATGCTTAATAGGGTGCCATTTGCTGAAACACACTATAATGAAGCAACGGAGCCACCTCTTGGACAGACAAGGTCAGGTGGCTCTTCAACAATGTTGACATGCGACATGGTTATCCGCTAAAAACCACTACAAAAAATTATTGGTAGCTAATAAAAGATTTTTCCTGTCTGGCCTTGATGTCACCATTGGCTCCAACTACTGTTACAAACATAGATATTTGGATAAGAATTGCCAATCTTGCGAGAGCTATGTATGTTGTGGGGAAAAGAATATAGAAGGGCAAGACTTGTTTTCCTCATGCTTTTTTTGCATGCTAATTAATTTAGGACAAGATGGAATGAGACATTCCATGTTGTAAAGGGAGAAGCTCTTGTTGCCACATACCGACGGGGTGTTTACATCCAGGGTGTAAAGTTTTGGTGTGTCATATCGGGTATTATATAAGGTGTCGTATGGGGGTATTTAGGCACTAATAAAAAAAACTAATTACAGAATCCGTCGGTAAACCGCGAGATGAATTTATTACATCTAATTAATCTATCATTAGCAAATATTTACTGTAACACCACATTGTTAAATCATGGAGCAATTAGGCTTAAAAGATTTATCTCACAAATTAGTCACAGGGTGAAAAATTTTTGGGTAGCCGGGATCTGTTTGGCCTGAACTATCTGCATTCTCATTCATAGCATAGACCTGACACCATGCTGAACTTTCAATATGATTTAATGGAAGCCCTGTATTTTCAATGCATCCTCTGCCTCCGGCACATGGTATGTTTGGTCTCAGACGGTCAGACCCATTTCGTTCCCCAGCTTTGTGCATGATTTATCAACAACGTACACATTGTTTTTTTGGTTGTTGATGCCAATTCAAGTCTTCAACTACCAGAAGTAAAAGATGCATTGATACATGTCCAAAACTGTTTAAAGAGGTACCTAAATAAACGTTTAAGGGTATGTTTAGTTACACGCCAAAATTAAAAGTTTGAAAAAAAGAGTTAAAAGTTTATGTGTGTAGAAAAATTTTGATGTGATAGAAAAGTTGGAAGTTTGAAGAAAAAGTTGGGAACTAAACCCAGCCTAAGAGGCACACACAAAATATGCCCTCCTGAAACCTTGTCACATCCGATTTATTCCTTATGAAAAATATTCTATTTTCCTCTCTGGTTTTTTTTGGGGTTTATCTCTAGCCTTTTTTTTATAAAAGAAAAGCTAACGGGATTTTTGTCCTATTTATTAATAAAACATGAGTAAAATACTCAGCCGAATGCTAAAAAGGAAAACAATGCGCTTGCCCACACTAAATGAGAAGGAGATATCACCGACTCAAGTGCACACGCAGAAATTTAGGGAATATAAACTCTTGACAGGGATATATATCCTCATTTTCTTGCGTATCATCCAAAAGAGTTATGAGAAAAAGTTGACAATAAAAAATTAGTATATGATATATCCTCTACAAACATATAAACTCAAATTTGACCAATACAAGTGGTAACAAAGTAAATAATAGACTTTAGCTTATATACATATATATTCATATTCATATTTGTTTATTTTATTTTACAACTTGTAAAACTTAAATTTTACCATGCATGTTTGTGAAATGATGTATGATATATTATTTCATCTTATTATTTTTTTAAAAAAATCATAACTATTTAGATAAAACGAAAAAATGAGGGTATATCCTCTCGAGAGCACTTCACTTCACTAGTTGAAGTCAATGATCAGACGGTTAACCTTGGTCACAATAATGTGCACGCGTACGCATTATCTCCATTGTCTTATATGTGTATCTTGGCCAAATTGATCTACAGTAGCATGCATGGTCGGCATATCGACCAAGAACAAGGCCAAACAAATTGAAATGGAAGAAGCGTTCCGGCATCATATATACATCGCATTCATGGGAAAATGTTAGGTATATATGCTTCATCTCGTCTTTGGTCCGGATATATATGCCCAAAACTCTCGCCTCTTTCGAGATTTTTTCTCTGAAAGAGATTGTAGTTTGTTGTATTGTGTTGTGTTGTGTTGTGTACTTGTATTGCGTAAGAATCTATCTAATCGATGTTTGCTCTGGTCAGTTGTAGCTAGATACCCCTCCTTTCTAAAATATAGAACTAGTGTATAAAAAACTAGAAAATAAATAGCAATAAATCAATAGCAATATATATTTCATAATATATATAAACGTTGGAGGTTGTGAGAAAAATAATACACTAGTTTCTGATATCATAATATATATTATCAGAAACTAGAAAATCAATAGCAATAAAAAGTTTTTTAAATACGAATATATGCATGATACATATATTATTTAGTTCGATCAATTATTAGCTAGAATTTTGAAATGTTGATTTTGCGTGTGTAAAACAATGACATTTATATCTAGAACAGAGGGAGTATATAAATATCATACTTCAGGAGAATTTCGATTTAACAACTAACATATGGTTTGAAATTCTACAATATAATATAAAAGGTTCTAGCAGCAACAATAACAAATTAGTAAATCCAAATTTTTCAGTTAACTATGGAAATAATATGTGCTTCTACAGCCATGTCAAATTAATAGATCGAGCACCTAGAAAATTAACTGAATTATTTGGATGCCACAGCTGTACATGTGCGTAATAATATACATGCTAACATACGACAATGCCCCTTTATCCCAAGATGCTTTAAATTTCTTCGTGGTAGAAAATTTAAGTACGCAAATCAAATAAACCGAAAATTAAGTGAGGAATTTTTCTAAGTGGCCATCCTTCTCACCGTAGACTACTGTTCGTGCACGCCGTATATAGTGACTTAGGCATATATACCACAACTAATATCGCCGTCTAATTCACCAATCAAACTTGGGCAGGTATATATACGGCATATGAACTTTCCAAGCTAGCCAAGTACAGTGTAGATGTTGCTCGCAAAATTCCAATTTGTTCAACTGTGTACTATCTACTGGGCAGTTTTCATAGAGTGTGCATTCTTGCTTAAGATGTTACCAAATTTTGAGTTGGAATTCTTTTTTCCGTTGAGTTGAATTAAGAAAATTTTCAAATTGGAATGAAGTTGAACAATCCAGATAAAGTGTGGGTTGTATATTGAAGGATTTTTCTCACTTAAGAAATTTCATACACAAAAGAATTATTAATCCAACTCAAAATTTTCATAGGATGAAGTTTTTTTTTTCTAATTTCCTTTCTGTCTAGGGTTTTTACTCATGCTTATTGAAATATATATAATTGCTAGTTCTTCTGCCGGTTTGGTTTCAGAAAAGTTAAGCAATTGAGGAATTTGTGTGAAATTAAGCCGAATGTTTATGACAAGTTGGGTACGTCATAGAAGTGATGAAAGGTGTAGCGAGGAAAAAAAAAAGCAATTGTGAAGCTCCAATGATATACCGGTTAACTACAGATATGATCGTACGTATGCAAATATCTTCTCGCTATATACTACCTCCGTTAATTACTAAATATTTAACGCCGTTGATTTTTTTAAATATGTTTGACCGTTCATTTTATTCAAAAAAATTAAGTAATTATTAATTCTTTTCCTATCATTTGATTCATTGTTAAATATACTTATATGTATATATATAGTTTTACGTATTTCGCAAAAGTTTTTAATAAGACGAACGGTCAAACATGTGCTAAAAAGTCAACGGTATCAAATATTTAGAAACGGAGGGAGTATAAAGCTAAGAGAGCATATGTATCGACGTGGCAACTCGTCAAATGTAGCATATATGCTAGCCTGATAACATTGCCCATAAAAAGCTGGCAAAAAATGAAGCTTTGTGAGGTTCTTTTAATCATAGGTGTTAGACCACCCCACTAGCTAGCTAGCTATACCACGTACTCCCTCCGTCCAAAAAAAGGCAAACCATGGGTTTCCGTGTCCAACTTTGATTGTCCGTCTTATATGAAATTTTTTTATAATTCGTATTTTTATTGTTGCTAGATGATAAAACATAATTAATATTTTATGCGTGACTTGTCTTTTTAATTTTTTTTCATAATTTTTTTTCAAATAAGACGGACGGTCAAACGTTGGGCACGGAAACCATGGTTTGTCTTTTTTTGGGACGGAGGGAGTACTTATTGTTCTTTTCAGTACGATCGATCGATTCGCCACATAGCTTACAAGTTAGAACCTCATCTCTATATCTACCTAAGTTTGACTAAAATTGAAGTGTTCAAAAGATTAATTGGCATCTAGTAACTCTTTTGTCCACAAATAAATTAACGATGTTCGTTTTTTGGACGTGTACCAAAATGCAGCTTAATTTGAAGAATGGTAATACTATTGCCCTATGGAAGTATATATTTCCCAAAGCAAAAATCTACAGTTATCATTTTTAAGTGCATATATTTCCCTGAGACAAATATGTTGATTCATTCCAAAGTCCAAATTGGAAAAACGGTAATTAATCATCAGTAGAAGTAATCGCAACGGTTGATTTATAGTTATACTATCAGTAGAAAAAGAAGTAATTAATCTACTGCAAATAGTTGAGACAGCATTATATAAAAAAAATGCTCCATTACATGATAAATGATAAAAGTCCTACATTAACTATACTAGGCTATTAGCAGAGAAAATTTGTGAAATATATAATGGGTCAATTATTAATTTCAGCACTAAAAACAAAAGTGATCACTAAAAACAAAAGTGATCAATAATTATATAGCGACAGGGCAATCGAAAAGAAAGAGAGAAAAAGAACGAACAGGCGTCCATGCATCCTGGGCTCGTGGCCGGTCTCTTTGGTCATGGACACTGCAAATTCTCTTTGCAATTAATTGATCATCAAGAGGCTTCAGGAAGAAACTAAGAAGCCTGAGATGATGTGATTACGCGAACATATCCACCTACTAACTGCCGGCCGGCCGGGCCGGCCGGCAACATCACGTACCATCGATGGATATGATCAGCAGTGGGTATATGTGAGACAATTAGTGGTTCATAATTAGTTGGTCATTTTCTAATCGTGTGTTGCTACTAGTAGCAACCATGGCCAGTGGTAGGCGTCGATCGGTATTCACGCTAGTGGTAGGATTCGATCATCTCTTCCCATTAATTCTCTCTCTGCAAAAATCAAAAGGGCACGCATGCAATGCATGTTATCATGATCAGTCGTCACTCGACCGGTCCTGCAAAGTGTAATTAAAGTAGAGTGGAAGGGCATATAGCTAATGGTTGTACTGATCCGAGTAGCACCCCAAGAGCATCTCCAACAACCTCCTTATCCCACTCTTCAAGTTAAATTTTGGCAATTTTAACTCAATTTTGTGCTCCAACAAACTGGCTAACCGGATGGCCAAGCCATCTGGCTAGCCAAAGTGCTCCTCGCGCTGGCCAAATTTGGCCAGCCAAAATAGCCTAGCCAATTGTGGGCCCCACGCATGGTCCCACGCTTTTCCCTCTCCCGTCCTGTACTCTCTCTCCCCCAAATCGACCTCTCCGCCGGCGCCACTCCTCCGCGTCGCCCCTCCGCCAGCGCCGTCCCTCTGCCGTCGTCGTCCTTTGCCGGCGCCACCCCTCCGCCGTCGTCCTTTGCCGGCGCCACCCCTCCGTCGTCGTCGTCCTTCGCCACTGCAGCCCCTCGGCAGCGCCGATGGAGAGGTACCCTCCGGCGATGCGGCGGCGAGGGGCTTGGACCGGCTCAGCAGCGCGACGGCGAGGGCTTGACCGCTCGCGTCCGATGCCGCGTGGGCCCGCGCGAGGTTGAGCTCGAGCCGCCCCGATCCGGTGAGGAACAGGAGCTCCGGCGCCGCCTGCTGGATCTCCCCCTCTACGGCAAGTGTAGCAGGAGCTCGGTGAAGGCCGAGGAGGACGCGGCGGAGGCGAGGTTGGTGAGGATGCGGCGGAAATTGGCAGCGAGCTTCTCTGCGGCGTCGGCTTTGAAGGAAATAAAGGGGAAAAGAATGGGGAGAGAGAGGAAGAAGGGGGAGAGAGAGAGAGGAAGAAGAGGAGTAGAGGATGACATGTGGGTCCGTTGTTATTTTAGAGATGATTAATAGAGAGTCTGTTAGAGTGACTATCTAGTTTGACTAGCCAAATCAAATGGAGAGTTGGCTATATGGGTGTTTGGAGAGTCCAATTTGGAGCGGCTGTTGGAGATGCTCTAAGATCCTGAATTTAAATCTTCATACAAGCGAATTTTAGATTGGGTTATTTGATGGGCTACATTCTTAATTTAAAAAAGCTACATATATCCTGTTGGAGATAGATATCGGGTTAAAAATACCCTTCTCAAAAAATTAAAAAATGTAGCTTGCAAGCATGGGGTACGTTTATCCACTATCGCACCTACTCCCTCCTAAAAAAGAGAGAGAGAAACAACTTCTAACAAGTGACAAAATCAGCTTGGAGCCATACCTAGAGCTTGAGTTCTTCATTTCGCCTTATTTCTATATAATTTCAAGCATTTTTTTTCTTAAATTTATACATAATTTGTATGAAGTTTGGATCCTAGGTCTAAAGCTTAAGCCATAACTTCCCGCCGATCCTCCTAGTTCAAACTACATGTATACTTAAAAAAAATACCCATACATTACAACGGGTGAAGGCTATTTTAATTTTATTATTGTTATATGGTTTAGTTAAGATAAAAATTACTCTGAGAATTCGCTTGGATATATATTTTTCTAGAAAATTATGAGTTGCAATTAGGAGCCCAATCATCTCAGATTAGCATGCGAGTTTTTTTAAAAAAAAAATTTTATATGACTTCTTCTATATTTTCAAAAGCGAACGAACTTATAACTTGACTCAGATACGAATCTGTATTTCTAAAAGCAAACGAACTTAAAACCCGACTCATATACAGATAACTTATTAAAGTACCGATAAAAACTATAGATATGATTCGTATCTTAGTTGCGGAGATAGACAGGCGCGCGGCTCATGGGTCAATGGCGCGGCACGACCACGTGTCGAAGTACTAGAAATTTCCTTGAGCCTAATAATTAACCACAAGATCGACCAAAGTCGCACACTCTAACTAGCTAGCTAGCCAGAAACAATTAATGTGATAAAATTGTTGCCATATGCCGGTGAACTGCGTTAAGAATAAGAGAAAATTTCCTGCGTAACCCTAAATTTTGTCCAATCCCTTTTATATCCTGAGATTTACTTATTTTCATTCATACCCCTAAATTTCAGTTTATATCCTTTCTTTTATATCTCTTTCGTTAGTTGACAGTTAAATTTATGAAGTATATCGATGGAGTATATAAATTTATTGTGTGTGACTAATAAGGCATGACAACCAATCACACTTCTCCATATAATAATAAGTCTATTTTTCGTCCCTGAACTCTTTGGGTGTGTCTTATATGGCTGGAGCAAGTCTATTTTGTATTCCTCTTCTTTGGGGCTTACCTTTGCTTATATGGCTGCATTAAGTCTATTTAGTCCCTCTACTATTTTCCATTAACCGTGCCGTGCCGGGACGGCCCACCGTACCAAGGCATCGGTCCAGACACGGCTCAACTGTTGGCTCTCGGGCCTTATTACCATCTATACTTGTGTGGGTCGTTTAAAAAAAAATCTTATTTTGGGACACAGAGGCCATGCCAACATAGTAGAAACTTTATGAAAAAGTCTATGGCAAACCACGAAGAATAGATATTGGGAATTTCCTTGACGATGTTGCCGTGATCATACCAAGATTTGGCTGCTACATGCCAGATTTGAGATGGGAACAATATCCTGTTCGTACATCAGCAAGGCATTGCAGATTCTTGAGACACTCAAGGGAGGAGTGCTCCGGCGAGACCTCGCCGCCGGCCACTATATCCGGCAGGTGTACGCTCCTGAGATCACGCATGACAAACCGCAAACGGCGGGACAAGAGGAAAGGGCGGCGGCGCCGCCGCCGCGTGGAGGAGCAACTTGGCCGCCAGCCGCCGCCACCAAGGAAGGATATGACGACGGCGCATATGCGGCCAAAAAATGCTGTGAGAGAGTATACTATACACTCTCAAATTCTGAGTGAATGAAATCTTACTCCGAAACAAAGGCTGTGTTTAGATACAAACTTTGGATCCAAACTTCCAACTTTTTCCATCACATCAACCTGTCATACACACACAACTTTTCAGTCACATCGTACCAATTTTAACCCAAACTTCCAACTTTGGAAGGAACTAAACACAGCCAAAAAAAACAAATTATGAATGAAGTAATGATGAACTTTGAACTGTTGGTGAGAAATTCACAAACTTCTGCTGCGTAATTGAATTTTTACATGCACCAAATTCGCAAAAGGAAAAACAAAATTACTTATAGATTGCGACTCCTGGGCTGAAATTGTACATGCGTCTGAAAGAGTAGCCACAGTTTCAGAAGCTGGGGTTTGATCAGTTTCGGGAGTTCAGACTGGGAAGCTTCAGACGGTTTTGAAATTCAGAATGTAAATTACAAACTCTTGACAGAGTTGGGGATCAAATCAGGGAAACAGATATTTTCTTGGTCATACACTCGTACTAGTTACCACACCAGTAGCTCAACCTGAAGAGAGAAGAATCCAACTCCACACACAATTTTCTTGGTCAGAAGTCAGCAAGCCTACAAGATCCTTTCAACAAGTCTGTCATCAAACTATGTACATTTGGTGATATCCATAAAGGTAAAACATGCAGAGTCATACAGATTTGGTTGAAGCAAATTCTTGACAGAAGTGAAGTGAATCAGCTTCAAGTTATTGCAAATTTCAACATGAAGAACAGATACATCATAATGCAATGCCTCTACCAGGACTAAATCTATTTACAATCACCTATATTATGTTGCTAACATTCATTCATCTGTGCCTAAACTAGATGACAAATGCTCAACAAACTAACTAATTAATTAATTAATTAAATTTTCTTAAGGTGTTTCAACTTCAAAATTGAAACAATATTGTCCTAACTTCTTCCCGGAGCTTGAGCTCATTCCACTCCTTCACCCACAGGGAGTAGCTCGACTGTGGCGCAACGACATCAATGGAGACCTCCTTGTTCTCCACCAGCTCGCTGGAATGGCGCTCAAACTTGTGCAAGTCCTCCAGCATCCTCGCCAGCGATGTCATGTCGCGTTCGCTCTTGGCACTCTCTGTCTGCTCGCGCGCTTCCTCCACCCTCGCCCAGAAGCACGGGTCCTGCGTTAGCCCAGCGAACTTGCTCCTCCTCGCTGTCGTGGTGGCAGAGGTGTCACCAGTGCTGGGATCTGTGCAGCCCTTCTGTTTCCACCACTTGTCGAACAGCTCATACCTATAGAGTACAGGTAGTGCATAAGCCTAATGGAGTCCATGAATTATCTAGAATGAACAATGTGGTTTTGTGCTACTGCTTCTACCTTCTCTCCCGGCCATGGGTGATGTAAGAGCCGCGTGTGCGGTGTAGGTTGTTTCGGTGGTAGTCGGCAATGTCAAGTGGCTCAACAAGGAGCTGGTAGAAGTGGGCAGCGTTGACCCACTTGGCACGGCGGTGGAAGTCGTAGGGGAGCTGGCTGGTGTCAAGCATGGAGAGGACGCCATCCCAGAACTGTGCGAGCTTGATGCGGTACATGTTGGCCTTGCTGAACTTCTTAGGTGATAGCCGCTGCTTGAATGCGTCGTAATACCCGGTGTTGGCATCGAACAATGCCTTGTACCACTCGATCTGCGCTCGGCACGGCGTGATCCGTCCCAACCGCGTTGCGAGGCTCGCACAGTTCAGGCTCGGGCTCCGGCCCACGCGCTTCGACGTCTTCAGCCACTGCCGTGCCGGTGCTGCCTCTGTAGCTTCACCGGTGATACCTGATGCCTCCAGTGCAATGGAGATGCCGACGTCGTAGTTGGACGCGGCAGGTGCGGTGACTGTGGCACCAAGGCGCCTCTTGAGCAGCAAGTGGTGCGGCATGCTCAGCACGAGGTCACCGTAGCAGGAGTGTGCAGCCTCAGGTGGCACCGCGCCTGTCTCTGGAGCACGCCTTGCAGCAAATGTTGCATATAGCATCTGAACCGCTGCTGTTGGATTGTCGACACACGCCGCACCATCCGGAGAGCACAGGACATACGCCCCAAAAGGCCGGTATGGGCTCCCACTGGGTATTTCCGGAGCAGCAAGCTTCTGCTCAATTGCTGCCTCACCGGCGTGCTCTTGGATCAGCTGCCGCAGCGACTCCTGGTTGGTGTCAGCCATGCGGGCAGTGACCGTGGCCACCACACCGGCTGCACGGCGCGCGCGCACCGGCAACTGGTGCAGCTGCATACCAACAACAATGTGCACAGGGATGACATTGAGTGGGCAGAAGAGGAGCCTTGGGACAACATCATGCTGTGAGACCACATGGCAGAAGTTGCCGGCCCACCGCTCACGCAGGATAGCCCTAGACAGGGCCTGATTGCCAAGCAGCGGGCTCCCGAATGTGACACAAAGCACCGGAGGAGCAGGGGCAAATGCTGAGCTTGACGATGATGTGCAAAGGTAGTGCAGCGCCACAAGGGCAGCAATGGCACCACCGAGGGAGTGGCCAGTGAACACTACTGCCTTGCCTCTGATCTGGTTCAGCAGCACCTGCAGTGTTAACCGACACAATGCAATTAGTAAGTGATATGATCAGTTTTCCTAGTCTCAAAAATAATTGCAGCCTCAAGATAGATTTGATTCATGAGTATAAGAGAAGCATTAACTGTATAATCGAACAGACTAAATTGACAAGCTGTGGACATTAACACCTTTGATGGCTCAACAAAAACATCAAGGAAATGAAGATAAGATTTGTCAACAAGAATAGGCCACATAGTCGATTATGAAACACAAATACTACTAGAAAAATATAACACCGGATGGAGACAGGGTGAAACATGATAGAAAAGATCAACAAATGCTGAAGTTACCAATCTGCAGTTTATTTTTCCTCAAAAAACCAATCTGCAGTTTATTTTTCCTCAAAAAACCAATCTGCAGTTTATATTCAAAGAGTGGAATGAAGGTCATGTCTGACAGCCAACTAAAAACTTTAAAGAATTCAAGAATCATCCGAAATAACTAAGCTCAGTATATTGTAAGTTTCTTGCATATCCTTGTTTATCTCTGAGATGCACAGGAAAAGTACATATACCAAAAGCAGGCTTAAATCTAAATTACCATCCAAAAATCAACTATGTCCATACTTCAGATTCCATTCATCAATACTCAAACCTTTTATTATTCACATCTGAAGATAATGACACATCATGGATCGCCATTTTTCACATGCCAGCAATGAATTTGTTCAGATCCAGACAGCCAAAAAAACATTATATTCAGATCCCTACCCACATAGTGTTGCCAGGGGTCATTCTCTCAATCATGCATTGTATTCAGCACGCCTAATCATCCTCTGTCACACATGGGCCACCACAAATGGATCAAAATGAAAGTGACAACAAAAGAGCAAGAGCAAGAAAAACATTTCGGTGTGCTGCCAAACGTGCCAATGTGCCATTTGTGCCGTACTTTTTGGTTTCAATTGACACAAAAAGACAGGTGCATAGCATCTGTGCTCTGGGTTGGCCGCCAAGTTTGATAGGGATTGTACACATTACAACACATGTACACGTCCTATAAGCTCCAAGATAAACTCGTGCATATAAATCTCTACTGTCAAAGGTACCAATTTAATCAAACAAATTGATAACAGAGAGGAAGATAGACACGGCTTCAGAAGGCAATACACGAATCAGGAGAGAAAAAACTGCAGAATAAGGAATGTGCGAATTTCACTGCAATTTGAAAGAAATCAGTTCAATTCTAACAACAAACAGAAAAAAAAATACAGCCTTCCAAACTAGCTTAAGGAGAGCACTCAATCTTCACATGGTAGTAATGGCACAGCAACCATTATCATTATTTTCACTGAAGATTACTCCAGTTATTATTGTTTGAATTCCACAAAATGTTATTGAAATTCCTTGCCAAATTAGACTCGTAAATTAGTTATCGCATAAACAGAATCATTGACCTTACAATAATAAAACAAAAAAAAATCACAGTACGAACTCCCTCAAGCCTCATATGTTGAAGTCTGAACATAATGACATATCAACCAACTAGAGACAGGCACATCAACATCACCATAACTTGCACCCAAAATAACTCAAAAGAAAAAATGTCAAATCATCCTAGACGAAAACTAAAATCAGGAGGCGTAATTAGCGAGCTTAAGTGCGCAATTAGATGGGGGGCGATTAGTTCGAGATATTTTCAGCTAATTGGTCAATTACCTGGAATTCAGGGGATCTGCACAGCCTCAAGAACCCCTGCAGCGCCAGCGCCTGCACGGCGACCGGCTCCCCGCCGGCGTCCTCCGGCTCGGCGGCGACCAGCGGCGCGAACAGCCGCCCGGCGGCGTCCCCGCGGAGCCCGACCGGCTTGAAGATCTCGGCGCCCCCGCCGCCGCCCGCCGCCGCCGACAGCGCCGCCTGCACCCCGGAGAACGCCACGCACACCGGCTCCCCTTCCCCTCCCCCGCCGCCGCCGTGCACGAACCCCAGCGACGACGCGCCGCCGTCGGCCGCGGCCGCGCACCGGTCCCACGCCCGCGCCAGCAGCGGCGAGGAGGCGAGCAGCGCGCCGAGGACGTGGCTGGTCTCGAACCTGGCAAGACGACGACGAAGAAGAAGCATTTGAGCTTCTTGGTTTCCACCATTTCTTCTCCTCCTCCTTCTTCCGCCCCCCAAATCGGGCGCGAAAAGAAAGCTTTCGCGCGCGTGGGTTTATATACACGCGAAGAAGAGGAGAGGGAGGAAGAAAAGCCATGGAAAAAGAAGGGGGAACTTACATCGAATTTTCTTCTTCTCCCCTGCTGGCGTCTTCCATGGCTCTGCCTGGTTGGGGGCAGTGAGCTTCCAAGAAATGGGGTCTTAGAGAGAGAAGAGGCTTCCAGGCTGGAGAGAGAGAGAGAGAGAGGCGAAGTGGTCAAGTTTATTTTGGTGGTCTTCTCTCCTCTTGGATGGTGTAGGGGCAAGGCAACAGGTGAGGAGGGAGGAGATGAGATAGATCATGGCCATGGGCAGTTAGGGTCTGTTTGGCATAGTTCCAGCTCCAGCTCTAGCTCCATCAGCCAAACAGTTTTAGCTCCACCAAAACTAGGAGTAGAATTGGGTGGAGCTCTCTCACAAAATGTACTAGAGTTGTGGAGCTGGGTTTAGGCAGCTCCACAACTTCACTCCAGACTTAACTCCTGAAGCAATATTTAGGAGTTGGAGCTGTACTAAACAGACCCTTAATTTGGTTCTGCTTTTTTTTTGGGAATGTTCTGTTTCCTTTGTTCTAAAATATAATAACTTTTAATCTTTAAAATTCATTCTAAAATATAATTAATTTCTTCATCCATATTTTCTTCTCAATTAACTATAACCTCTTTCAATTTAATTTTTCACCAGTTTTCTTAATACCTATGTCTAATCTTAAAAATTATATTTTTAAAACGGAGGATGTACCATTTTGTTCAAATAATTCGGCGGGTTTTGTATCAAGGAACTTGTGGAGTTTTAGTTTTGTGGTTTCGAGGAAAAGTTAAAAGGTAGTACTCCTATTGAAATTGTGTAATGTTCGGATTGAATATGCTTGAGGTGTTAAGGTTATGTTGTTTGCCATCCGCCGACGACAGGATCTCGTTGATAGAGGTACGGAACTAAGATATTTTGGGAATCGGGTATATTGGGATTGATTTCATGTTCTGCTGAATGATAGTGGTTGAGAATATTTTAGGACTATTGAGAAAAATATTTTACTCACCCATGTATTACGTACTCCCTCTGTCTCAAAATATAGCTATCTTTAATTTAAATTTTATCTCAAATAAAACTATGGTCCCGTTCATTTCTTATGGTGGTGTTTGAATCTTCTGAAGATGAAGATGAAGATAAAGATTAAGTGTTTCACGTATAACGTGTGACTAATTGAGGTTCAACTATTATAAACTTAAAAAATAGATTATTCTGATATTTTAGAATAACTTTCATATAAAAAGTTTTCGCACGAAACGTACCGTTTAGCAGTTTGAAAAGCGTGCCACGAGTATCCAAAAGTTTATCCAAGTTATATAACATGTGGATGAAAATTTAGATACTCGTGGCATGCTTTTCAAACTACTAACGATGCGTTTCGTACGAAAACTTTCTATATGAAAATTATTCTAAAGTATTAGATTAATTCATTTTTCAAGTTTGTAATTATTAAAACCCAATTAGTCACTCGTTATTATCACCTCGTTTTGCGTGAAACACTTAATCTTCATCTTTATCTTCAGGAGATTCAAACACCACCTATGTATGATATATAGAATATAAACTTTATCACATTATTCCTTGTATTTAGTTACCCTATCACCTCACTAGCACTCGAAAGCCGTACCCAACATATCATGTCTTTAATCATATCAACCTCTATGTATTTGAGACATTTTATCTCAATTATTAATTCCTAACATACTACTCCATCCAAAAAACCAATTTCTTAAAATAAATTCTCCCAGTCTGGAGGATGTCCTCATTTAGGTAGCTATATTTTAGGGGGGAGAAAGTAGGGTATATATCCGATGCCACTTCAGAAATAAAAAGGGTGGGGATTGATCGGTTTCACTCCATCCTTTCGGGTACTCTAGTCCACATACGTAGTGGCGGAGCCTGATCGAATTTATAGGGTCATTCTCCTAAATCATGACATGTCAATTAGTGCCTAACATATTACTCCCTCTATCACATAAAAAATAAATTTGAATAGGCTCCTACCATATTCATAGTATTAGTATGTGTTGCATCTCATCCTATGTTTTATAAATCCTATGTTTGTTTTCTATAAGACAGATGGAGTGAGTAGTACTAGCAATGACTAATATTTCCTTTTTTTTTTCATTCAAATATGATCTCCACTAAACTCGGTACCCTGCACATGGCTAACCTCTACTGTACTAGTACTCCGTAGAGGTGGCCAAACGGGCCGGGCCAAACGGGTGGCCCGGGGCACGGCCGAACCTGTAGCAGGCACGGCCCGGCACGGCCTGCTACAGTAACGGGCCGTGCCGGCACGGCACGAGTAGCCGTGCCGTGCTTGGGCCGCTGGCCGAGCCCGCGGGCCGGCACGGCACGGCACGGCTACTGTAGCGGCACGGCACGGCACGGCCCGCGGCACGGCACGGCCCGTTTCGCCGGCGGCCCGTCAGGCCGAAAGCGGGCCAGCGGCGCACGCGCCAGGCCGAAAGCAGGGACAGGGCGGGCGGCGGTCGAATGGGAAGGCGCCACGTGGCACTAACGGCTATTTGACCGTTCAAATTTGAAAATAACCGTTGGGAGGCTAAAAAATTCATAAAAATTTCGAAAAAATTCCAAAAAATCTCAAATTTCGCCCTATAAATAGGGCATGAACCCCAGCCATTTCTCCTCATCTCACACTCCTCATCTTGTGCTCTCAAGTGTTTTAAGTGCTCTCTTTGTTCTCAAGTGTGCATTTTTTTTTTATTTTGACAAAATTTGCTCAAATTTTGTCAAAAATCAAAATTAGTTTCGTAGTTCAACAGTTTGATCGCAGAGGTTTGAAGAGCTCGCGGTTGGAAAGATGTAAGTAATATTCAAATTTGTGTATTATTTGTATTGTGTTTGTGAATTCAATAAATATTCGAAAATTTGTTTATGTCGGTTTAAATTTTCAGAATGGATCCGAACTTTCCATACCAGTCGCCGTCGTTCACCTTGGGTGATTTCGACCCCAACTACATGTCGGGGTTTGACAATACCTCCGGATCGGCTCCAACTCCACCATCTGTGGAGGAGGTACCGGTTCATACGGCTGTCGTTGAGGAGGTACCGGTTCAGGCGGCGACAGCTTCGGAAGGATTTTCCGGAACCGCGAGCGGAAGTGTTTCGACACACACCGGCTCGAAGAGATCGAGAACCTCCGGTGTGTGGCAAAACTTCGACGAGATAAAGGAAACATGCCCCGACGGAAGGGAGGTATCGAAAGCCCGTTGTAGAATATGTAGGCAAATTTTATCTGCTCGTTCTTCTGGTGGTACAGGTCACCTCAAGCGCCATGCGGAGTCGTGTGCCAAGAAGCAAGGAATACAACTCCGGCAGCAGCAACTTATGGTAAACCCAGACGGTACGGTACGCAGTTGGGAGTACGATCCCATGGTTGCTCGGGAATCTCTTGTCCGGTTAATCGCCCGGCAAGATTTACCCCTGAACTTTGGGGAGTCCCCTGCTTTTGAACATTACATTCAGCAATCTCATAACCCTAGGTTTAAAGCTGTGAGTAGGCAAACATCAACTAGAGATTTAGAGAATGTTTATCACAAGGAAGCAACTGCACTTAAGGAACTGTTTAGTACATGTACTTTCTCTGTTAGTGTTACTTCAGATATATGGAGTAGTAGAGCTAGAGAGGATTATCTTAGCGTAGTTGTTCATTTTGTTGATGATGATTGGCAATTACAAAAGAGAGTTTTAGGGCTTAGGTTAATAGATGTCTCACATACAGGAGAAAACATAGCTGAAAGAATTAGGGAAGTAATTAATGAATTTAATCTTGCTGATAAAATATTTGCTGTCACCCTAGATAATGCATCTGCTAATTCTAGGGCTATTGAAATATTGCAACCTTTATTTTGTGTGTATGCTCAATCTTTTCTACTCCATCAGCGTTGTGCATGTCATATAATTAATTTGATTGTTAAGACTGGCATGAAGAGGGTAGGTGACCACATCGATGCTGTTCGTCAAGCAATCGCGTGGTTAACTGCTTCTAACCCGCGGATTGCTGCATGGAAGAGGTTTTGCAATGCGGCCGGTGTGAAAGCTCGTAAGTTTGCCACCGATGCAGAGCATCGGTGGAATGCAACGTATTTAATGTTAAAAGTTGTTTTACCTTATAGTAGTTTACTTTCTGATTTTGTTCAGTCACGTGGTGGCCCAAGAAACAGTGACGGGTCTTCAGTACTGAACGAGCATGTTTGGGCAATTGTCCAAAAATTTCACCAATTTCTAGAAACTTTTTATGATTGTACTCTAACTTTGTCACAAGTTTATTATCCAACTGCTAATATAATTTTGCACAACCTTCTTGAAATTGCTACTTTATTTAAAGAATACGAAAATGATGACGTTCTAACTGAACCTGTCTTTCACATGAAACAAAAATATTTGAAATATTGGAAAAATATACCTATGTTGTATGCTTTTGCTTTTGTTTTAGATCCTAGGTGTAAATTAAGGGGATTGTCTGCTATTTTATCACTTGTTGGAGATACTATAGGTGTAGATTATAGTTCTTTTTATACTGAGGTTAGACGTAAATTATATGAGGTTTTTGGAAGATATGAAGTAAAGTTTCAGGAAGTTCGCCAGCAGAGACCCCCTCCTATCCCCACTACAGGTAAGAAGAAGATACAGTGGGGTAGGATTTGGGGTGGATCGTCTTCAATCCAAGGTGGTGGCAGTTCGTCGGCTACAAGTGGAGACGCCTCTTCGCATGTTGTGGCCGAAGAGTTGTCCGGTTATTTGGACAGCGACGCCATCCACCACGAAGCACAAGATTTCAACGTCCTCGGGTGGTGGAATGACCACAAGATAACATATCCTGTGCTTTCAAAACTAGCACGGGATGTGTTGACGGTGCCCGTGTCGACGGTGTCCTCCGAATCGGCCTTCAGTCTATGCGGCCGAATCATCGAAGACTGGAGGACGACTCTGCGCAGCGACCACGTCGAAATGCTACTAAGCGTTAAAGACTGGGAGCTTGCTCGACAACATGCCCAATACACTGCGGACAACCAAGAATTGGCCGCCCAGTTCGAGCAACTCTACCTGGATCCAGACCAACCCCAGTAGAATTTTGTTAGAAGTAGTTCTGACCTTTGAGCTGTACTCTTTTCTTTGTCATGGTTTTCTCATTTTCCCTTATGAGTTTTTACATGACAAAGTTTTTAACGAGGCAGCATGTATCATTGTATCCTGTAATGATATAAACATCAATAAAGGTCATTACTATTTTTAACAAATTCTTTTGCAATATTTTCGCAAGTGTGGATTTATCTTTAAATTATTTCAAAATAATGAATCACAATCTATATTTTTAAATTTTTCAACACAACAAAAAAATACCATTTTTTCTTTTTTTTAACATTAGCAAATCATTACTTTTTTAAAAAACTTTTATTTCCATTTTTTAAATACCATTTTTTCATTTTTTAACATTAGTAAATCATTACTTTTTTTAAACATTTTATTTCCATTTTTAATTTTTTTTCCTTATACATTTCCTTTGCTTTTTTTTTTAAAAAAAACACTGTGCACTGGCGGCCTGGCGGCTGGCGGGCTGGCGGCCTGGCGGCCAGTGCAGCTCAGCTGCCGGCCTGCCTTCACGGGCCGCCGTGCCCCGAACGGCCCGTGGGCCGCAGGCGTGCCGTGCCGGCACGGGCACGGCCCGGCCATCCACGGGCCGTGCTTGGGCCGGCGGCTCGGCACGTGGGCCGGCACGGCACGGCCCGTTTCATCAGCCGTGCCTAACGGGCCGTGCCGAAACGGGCCGTGCCGGACCCGTGCCCGTGCCGGGCCGGGCCGTGCCGCCCGTTTGGACACCTATAGTACTCCGTAAGATGATAAGTTGTTTGATGTCTAGTGGTACAGATTTATTTATTTATTTATTTGGCAAGAAGGGTTGTTTGGGATCTCAACTTCTCATCCAAAATTGCGGCTTGTGTTGCCATGGTTGATGGCAATCTCATATTAGAATTCTCAACTTCTTGTTCAATGCCAAAGCATCCATCGGAATGAATATGAGCAGGTGGTGGAGCCATGAAAATTCAAGAATAAGGCTAAACTCGTTTATATATCTTCAAAATTTTCACTGAATTTTGAGAGAATCTATTATGAATTTAGGAGATAAGCATAGAACTAAAGCTTTAATAACTACCGTAGGTTTGCATCTCCACATGCCATAGTACATATGTAATGCACACTACCACAGTTAGTAGTCCTAAGAGCAAAACTTACCTAATGAAAACCAGTTTCGAAAAAAGAAACTATTGGAAACACCACAACAAATTTGACATTTTGGTCATCAGTCTGCCCATTTCACATATGAAGCTCATGTATTTCATTTATTTGAGATACATAAAATTCTTGGTATATTACAAATGCTTATTATCATGTATGTGTTGTACTTTCCTCAAGTTACTTTAAAAATGTGAATATTAGGAAATGACATAATATCAAATAAATAGAAGGATTGAGACCTCGAAACCAGTCCAACTAGCCCATCACCTTGTGGAGCTAGCTGAAAGACCCTGGTCGTTTCTCCTCAAGTTACTTTCAATCTTTTTTTTTTTTTGTGCATGTGGTAATAATCTTCATGTGTGTGCATGCAAACTGGCGTCAATTAGTACATGTAGTGGAGATTTTAAGTGGCCATCACATCTTATACTTACCAACATTATATTAAGTACATATGCACTTCCTATTGGGGTTAATTTGACCTTTGCATGTGGATGCTCTCAAAAAAGGGTCAGGAGGGGTCCCAAACTAGCCTCTTTGTATGAAGGAACATCCCTACCTTTCTGGGCACTTTTGTGAAAAATCTCCAGCGGTGAAATGAACATTTAGATATATACTAATGTGGTGAAAACCAAGTAGGAGTACTTATTTTGTTAAAGAACTTGGAAAAACTTTGTATTTTCATAAGTCGTCATTCTCTATCTCAAGTGACTTTTTTTTTAATGTTGGGTCAAAATCAACACATGCTATCTCTGAAATAAACATCTGCTTGATCAACGATAAGGACTGCATTCTGGTAGGTCAATAAAATATGGAATCCGGTTTGGGCTCAGATATGCATTCGGTGAGTATGAACACACTCTCAGAAAAGACACTGCATACCTATATTTTATTGGTATTCTTTTAGGATTAGGAGAAAATCCATAAAATGCCATCGACAAGCACCTTGATCCTAGAAATGCCATTGACAAACGCAACTTCCTGAAAATGCCATCGTACAAGCCTATTTCTCCCAGAAATGCCATCACACCGTTAGTCCACACCATTAGAACAAAACATTTTACAAGAATGACTAAATTGCCCTCACTCCAAATAATACTATCCCAATCCACCGGTAAAAAAAAAACTACCGCTAATGCTTGATGCGTCACATGGCCGGCCTGCCTCGAAGGCGCCGGCCTGACACGCGGCTAGCCAGAGGAAGTGGGAGGCTCACGTCAGCGGCGGCGAATGACTCGTCGTCGCTGTGGTTGGAGTCGGAGTCGGCGCTTCGCTCGCCGTCGCTGGAGGAAGAGGAGGAGAGGCGGGCGAGCCCCGCGGCGGTCATGCTCCAGACGTGGGCGCCGCAGTAGGGGCAGCGGACGTGCGGCTCGAGCGGGCCATGGTGGATGACGAGGAACGCGCGCGTCCGCGACGGCATGAACCCGCGGTACGCGCCCACGATGTCGTCGTACACTGCGCCAGCGACGGCCAGTGGCGGAGCTAGCGGCATCGTTGAGCCCGGGCGAGTAATAGCGTTTTTCGGTGATCGACTAATTTTGATAGGTGTTGACAGCTATTCGTAGTGAAGACGACATCGACGGAGCACGGGCGGCCGCCCGACCTGTCCGGGAGGTGGATCCGCCACTGGCGACGGCCACCGCGTGCTCGCAAAGTGGCCCGGCACGGCGGCGGCCGCGCGGCAGCAGAAGAAGAGCAGCTTCGCCATCACCGGCCAACCTCCCCCAATGAGTCGATGCCTGGGACCGTCGTGCGGATGCCTGCTGCCGAGGCGCCGTCGCCTGGGACCACCGTGCCTGCGGCCGACGCGCCGCCGCCTGGGACCACCGCGCCGCCGCATGCCACCTCCTCGCCGCCCGTCGCGTCAACGCCTGGGACCACCGCGCGGACGCCTGCTGCCGACGCGCCGCCGCCTGGGACCGACGCTCCGCTGCCTTCCACCTCCTCGCCGCCCGTCACGTCGACGCCTGGGACCGCTGCCACAGGCGCCGCCTGGGACCACCGCGCCGCCGCCTGGGAGCCCCGCGCCACCGCCTGCCACCTCCTCGCCGCCCGTCGCGTCGACGCCTGGAACTGATGTGCCACCGCCTGGGAGCGTCGCCTTGCCGCTGTCGCCCATCGGGAGCTGGCGATTGAAGTGGAGGGGAGGAATAGTGGCCGGCGATGGGATGGAAGAGAAGGGGATTTATCCTTTGTTGAGGAGGGTAATTTGGTCATTTTGACAAAATTAACGGTGTCTAACAGAGTGAAAGTGACGGCGATGGCATTTTTGGGACAAAATGGCTCGTACGATGGCATTTGCTGGAAGTCGCGTTCGTCGATGGCATTTCTTGGATTAGGGTGTTTGTCAATGGCATTTCATGGATTTTCCCTAGGATTAGCATCTGGAGCAGTACTTATTGTTATATGCAATCAAATAAAAAAATTTAGTAGTGGGCAAATTATATTCTGAGAACATTGTGTTTATTTAAAATCTTTTCAACTAATTATGGGGAATTGCTTGTTTAAAATTTCTCTTCTGGTTTTTACAGCATATATATAGCCTTTTTTCAGCGTTTTCTAATGGGTTGTTTTATTTTCATTTGAAATATTGATGGTCTTATATTCAAATTTTTGGTGTGTTTGATCACAAGAAATACATCTAGGCCCTATTTGGAGCCTGAACGTTTTCCCTTTCTTTACAAAATTAAATTGTTTCGCGGCAATAATCCTAATTAAGCATTTAAACTCCAAATAGATGGAGCTCAATGTTGTATTTGTAACTCTGTATGATACTCTCTCCGTCCCATAATATAGCAATCTATCCAGATTCGTTGTACGAAATATCCCATCCGATTCTAGGTTTTTATATTATGAGATGGAGGGAGTAGTATAATAATATGTTCAACTACCACTGAATTAGAGTACCCAAGTGGAATTATGGATCGGGATCCTCTCTTGTTTCAGGGAAATAATTTCTCCAGTGATTTCGATCAGTACTACATCGTCTCAGAATATAAAATATTTTAAGTGGACACGGTTATTAAGAAAGTAGGTTGGATTAAATGACGAGAGATCGTGATTGGTTGAAAAATATAAGTATGTGAGAAAAATAAATGATGAAGGGTTATAATTGGTAGAGAAGAGAATGTTGATGGAGAAATTGTTATATTTGAAGACAAATTCTAAATGCTAGAAGTTGTTATATTTTGGAGCATATAGAGTAGTTTTTTATTGGGTGATATAATTCTACCTTCTAGAATACACTGTTCTTTAATTTAATGTATCTATCAATCAACTGGTGGGGTAAAGAACTAAAGACATGTTGCTGACAGTTACTGCATTGAATCCTGTTAAATTCTATAGATCCCTACTACTGGCATTTTCTTATAACCTCTTTTCTTTCTTCCTTTAATTAATTTTCCCTGCCGTGTGGGTGTGAAAAACTGAAATAATATATTTTTCTTGGCAAGCTGAATTAAAATATTCACTCTCTTCCCAAATAGAACAACCTGGTAATACTAAGAATTTACATATATTTCCAATTCAAATTCATAGTACTTTATTATGTCAAATTCGATACTAACTTGTTATATCGAATTAGAATGGAAAGAGTAATTAAGGTTTCCCTCATGTTACTACATTTACATCAACTCATTAAGAGTAGAGCATATTCTTACCATCCCATGTGTCAGGATCAAAATCGTCATTCTCTCTTTTCCCGTGGAATACGAATATTGTAAACCTATGGCTAAGAAATAAAAAGGAGAAAAAAATATTCTCTAGGTAACTAGCTTGCCATGTATGACAACAACGTTTTGTTTATATATTAAGGTGGATTTGCTTGCTGGATCTTTTAGTTCGATATGACAAAAAAAAATGTAATTCATACAAATGATAAATTAGCAGCATTTATACGGATCTGAGCAACTGAGAAGGTGGATGGCGATCAGTTTTTTTTTGCAAAATGATAAAAATTCTTACTGAGGTCCTCGCAAAAGAAAAACTTAATTATGCTAGATCGTGTTAATGCATTATTATTAATAATTTCTAGTCAGTGATGATATAACACACTTGTATATTGAGTTTTAGAAGTTAGTAGGCATCAACTATGTAGATAGTATAGATTTGCAGCTATTTTGGTTCGGCATATTTAGATATGGCAATGTATTGGTTGTGTACATTTTCATTAATGCATAGACCAAGAGTTGTTAGGACAGCCCCAACCTTTCACCTCAGCCAGTGAACATCCCCTTAAATATATTGTCACTTAAGTTAAAAAAAAAAAACTAAGATGGTAAAATAGTTAGTGAGAGAGAAAAGATGAAGGACCATTTCTCATGTAAGAAATTAGCTTTACACAAGAACCAATAATAAAAACAAGAAGATAGGTTGATGAAAGGAGAGAAAAGAGAGGTGATTAGATGAGAATTTATTTTGGGAGTATCTATATTTATGGCGCCATATTTTTCACCAAAAAATAGTTTGCATATATTTACATTGTAAATACACTAAAATGTATCTCAAAATTACATATGTAATTAGTTTATAATTATAGTGTAAGTATAATGTGATTATGATGTAACTAATATATATACTAATTACCTATACTTAAATTTGTTTAATTACCTATACTTAAATTTGTTTATATGGATTCCTACATCTTTTTCAGATGTATTAGTACGACAATAGACTCCCAACTTTCAAAGAAATATTTTCAATGAACACTACCATGCTAATCAAGCGTTGATTTGTGTAATCCAAGATTTGAACTTTTTACCCAAAAATCTGTAAAGATTTATAGCAAAACTGTTTATTTTTGAAGAAACCACATTAGATATATAATCTCTATACATAGTGTTTATATGACATGATAAGTATGAAAACTGCATGATAATTTCTGATTTGGATTATCTTTAGTTAATTATCTTATATAAAGTAATTAACTCCGCATAAATTAAAAAAAGTACTCATCAAACAAGAGGAAAATTTAATTTGGTGTCCCATTATTTAGCGAAATTTATCTGTTGATGATTCGCTACCCTCTGTCTATGCCACATGGGTCCTAAGGACACATGTCATTGATGATTTATGGGTAAATAAACTAACTATTGTCGACAAAGGCCCATACTGTCAACTACTGAACTTCAAAGGCTTTGACCAGATGTAGATGTGGTCATGGTCTTCGTTCAAAGCCAAGCTAGCTGTTGATGCCTGCCTATGAGCCTATCATATGTGAGTCGATTTCAATCCATCATCCCTCGGCGAAGACTGCCAATTTATGCTTCAAAAGTCTGTGCCAAACAGTGAAAAAAAATCCGAGGAATTTACATGCTTTTTGTTGCATTATTACTGCTTCAGATCTACAGATGTTGGACCTACTAACTAATGACCATCAGGACAATAATACAGTGAAAGTCACTGTGTGTCTGTACCCTCACTTGACCAGTAAAACATTGTAATGTCATATGATGCTAAACCATACCTGAGCCGTTCGATCAGGCTAAGAACACCAGATGGACGGCTCACATCGATCGAGAGGTACAGGAGGCTCCTATCAATCCCATCCCCTTCTTCTGAGTGTGACCTCCTTCATCCAACATGCGATCCACGCCATTGGTTTCTGATCGAACGGCTCATGCCAATGTCGATTAGTATGCATGATATAATCATATACATCAAGATAGAGATTGTGAGAGGTTGGCTGGGAAGATGAAGTGCGTCGGCGACGACACGACTAAGTACAGTGCAAACGTCGGTCAAGATCCTCGAGAACAAACATTTGCATGTACTCGTGTCCCAACGCTAGGACATACAATTACAATGATGGAGATCTTCTGGTCTTGGTCCAAGTCCACTAGAAGTCTCCTTCAGTGCTTCGGAACTTAATTTGAAATCATAAAAGTTGTGGATGCTGCTGACTCCCTACCAGTGAGGCAATAGCTGTTGTCATGTTGTTCATCACATTCTTGTATGTTGGTGATGGGAATATAATGCCACAAGAAATTAATCCATTTTTTATACTAGCTCAGACTCTAGCCAAATTTGCTTTTCTGTTTAACTGTTGATTACTTGTATCATGCTAGTTTATTTGGTGAGCAATGATGATTGATGACAATACACAACTAACATGAGATAAAGTGTGGTGCATCATTAATAAGTCAAAATGATTCATATTAGATATATGCTGAAACAAGCTTGGAAGTCATCCATCCAAAATCCAAACCACCCAACTATGCCAGATAACTAGATTACTATTGATGACACATACTTCTCCGTCCCAAAATATAGCAATAACGAATTAGACACAACCTACTATTACGAATCTAGATGAATACGTCCAAATTCATAGTACTCGGTTGTTTCAAATTCAATACCAGGTTACTATATTTTATGACGAAGGTAGTAATAGGATAACAAGCACAAGCAATGAGATGCGCTTCTAGCGCAGTTGGCACAAGCGTTCAGTGTGAACGTTGCAGCCAGGGTTCGATTTCTGAACTCCTCACCTTCCGCCTGGATTAAATGAAGGGTTGAAAATATGTGGCTCCTCCTATCTTAATTCCATTGGATGGCTAGCTCCTTCTAGCCATCCCAACCTTTTTTTTTTAACAAGCACAGGCAATGATTTCAATATAGCACATCATCAGTATGATGTCAGAGGCACACTCTTGAGAAAGTGATGAAAGCAATGCTTAAAAGGAGTGGGCAAGCCGCCCACGCGAAACAAACGCGTGTAAGGCAAGAGAAATCCTCTCATACTTTTTATATGTGCAACATGTCTGATGGCTTCTTTGATAGCTACTCCAAAACATCCAAAAAGAAACACTCATAGCACTGCGTGTTGCATGGGTCATCATCAGCAAGCAGCACCTTATCCCCATTGGCTTAAAATCTTCTCTCTAACAGGACTTAAAATCACTTTGGCTCATCAAGCTATAGCAATTAAATGGCATGAATAGCTATAGAAATGGAAACAGTGTATAAGATCAACTGGTATTTTCCATAGTGATAATGCAATTGTAGAGTACTCAACAGTACAAATACAAGGTACAAATAAATACCAAAATATATGATAAGTATCAGTCTCATGTACAGGGTTGGGAAGGTATTTTGCAAATGTGAAAGCATGGCAATGCAGACCTCGGGCGATTGACTTATCATCATCATGAAAAGGCAGCAACTCACACAACGTTAAATGCTGCCACTAGCACATGAAGGGCAAGAGTTCATTGTCCACAAGTAAAGAGATTCCACATGCACTCATTTGACAAGAGGTGAGCAAACGAGAGGTCTCTCTGTGCCCAGTACTTGAAAAGGTTGAAATTCATACATTGTCGGTATACATTTCACTCGCATGCAAAAGTACAAAGTGGA